TGTGGACTGTGGTTGGTTACCACCCACCAGGAGTCCTGACTCAAAAAACAGGCTCTAACTAGGCTATTGCCCCGCCAGCCCCAGTGTTCTGACTAGTTGTAGATCATCTTGAAGGATAATCAAATTCAGAGGCACACCCACACGCATCCACCCTCCTTTTCACAATTAGTATGGTGAAAGAAGGACAGCAAGACATCCATAAAATAGTCCCCAAAGTTATCTTGCCTCCAGATTAAATAAACAAATGCTGAGTCCCTGTGTCACCTGGGAAAACAAAATATCTGGTGCCTCCTTTCTTTCAGAGGGAAGTAGCACAATTCCAATAACCTTCTCCTCAGGATTTAAACAAAATCTCTAGGTTCTATGTCCTTCAGGGAAGAGATATGGGAAAAGTTCCACACAATATTTAATAAAGTCTCCAATTTTTTCTTCCTTCATAGAAAAGGCATAAGGAAATTCCAAACAGACCTTAAACAAATGAATTAGCATCTTAGAAAAAGCCCCTCTGTGGCCCATCAGTTTCATACTGCTAGCTAGCCAAGGTCAGATCCCAGAAGCTAACTTCCTCTTCCTGTTACCTGCCCCAGCCTGGCTCCCTGGGAGGCCAGTCAGCTCCAGCTGTTTCTTGACTCCCTGCATCAAACCCTATCCTGGAGTTTCCTGACCCAGCTACTCTTCTGACCTTTCTGAGCCCCAGACGGGTAGCAAATTATTCTTGTTACACAAGAATCTTTATTATTTGCATAGCAGGGTCCTCTATTTTGTTAGAAATAGTTTAAAAAGTAAATACCCCATTGTGAAAAAGTAATTATATATTTATATCACTTTATATATATATAAAATATAATATATCATATAAAATTTTGCAAAAATATAAATTTCTTCAAAACATAACACAGTTCTAGAGTTTTGATGAAATTGGACAAGTCCTTCAAACAACAGTAAGAAGTGCAGCAGCTTAAATAGCTCAACTGGCAGAGTCCACACCTCAAAATGGATGCTGAAAATTGGAATATGTTCAGAAAAGAACTACAAGAATATTTTGAGGTCTGAAGGACATACCACATTATGAGACACTTAAGGTCAACCTGATTAGTTTATCCAAGAAAAGGTTTAGAGTTGACTTGATCACAGTCTACATCTACCTACATGGGTAAGATTCTCCATCACGGCATCTTTAAATTAAGACTGGTGGTTTTTCTGAACGATATGCTATACATAGCTCAGACAGAAGTTATGGGCTTGATGAAGAATTTAATGGGGGAGGTTCTTTGGCCTGTGATCAGTGTTTCCCATATGGTGGGTACTGACCCACCAGTGGGTCATGGGAGGTTACAGATCGGTTATCATGTCCAGGGCCAGAATTGGCCTAGACAAACATATACCTCTCCCAGCCCAGCCAGTTTGGAGGGGAAGCCCTGGGGGAGGGTGCAGGCTTGGAGAGCAAGCCCACCCCTTACTCACCCCACAGCAGCTGGGGCAGGCTTTCTTTCCAAATCCTGTCTCTGGTGAGGCTTCCCTCCACACCAGGCTGGGATTAGGGTTTTGGAGCCAGGCAGAGGGTGCACATATGTAATAATGGATTACAAAAAAAAAAAAAAAAAAAAAGAAAAAACAGCCGGGGGGTCACCCGGTGCAATGTTTGGGAACCACTGAGCTAGATGATCATAATGGTCCCGTGTGGCCATAAAACTGATAAATCTGTTATCCAGTCCCATGTCTTGTCAGATCTCTCATCTATGAAATAAAACACCACTAGATTATCCTATCTCTGTTCTGAGATTATTTATGCGATTGGTGAAAGTATAAAATTAAGGTCCCAATTCTACAAAAATTTAAGCACATGTACAACTTTATTCATGTGAATTCAATGGGCCTTCTCATGTGATTAAAGTTATTCACATTCACTTTTCCCTAGCTGCACTCCGTCCATTGGTCATGGCTACGGTGGCTCTATGGCAGTGGAGAAGGATTCACAAGGGGCTGAATATACCAGATTTAGGGCAGATTTGTGTTGGAGGATCATTGAAAATATACAGCAGAGGTAACCTCTGACAAATTGTGTCTTATCTTTCCAGGAGTATAAGAATGATAATTATATTTTATGACTAACAAAAATATCCTGTGGATTGCATTCTAATTAGTTATGCAAGATACCTTTAAGAAATCGTACATCTAATAATTTAGACATCTGATAATGCCAGTGGGCATTGCAAATGCTTTATATTCCAGCACCTTGCAAGACACCACACCAAACATCTAGCAAGTTTCAAACTTCTTCTCTACAGCCAGGTAAGCATTTCTTCTATGTAAGTTTACAGTTTTAGTTACTGTTATGATTTGTGAAGGGAATTTTTGTAAGTCCTTTTGCTATACCCAGTCCATTTTCGGATTGCACAGATTAGTCCAGCTGTCCAGAATTTTACATCCCCAGTGGAGCGTGTGCCAATGGTGCAAGGCTGGGGCTCAGGAGTCTATTCCTGACTCTGCTATTATATTCCAGTGCGACTGTGGGCAAGGCACTTTGGCAGAATTTTCAGATATGGGTGTCTAAAGGTAATAATTTTAACCCAGATTTATGTACCTAAATAAACAGCATGCTTTTCAGAAGCACTGATGCCCACACATCCTGTTGGTTTAAGGTAAGTTATGATGCATTTATATCAGTGTAAGAGCAAAATTTGGCTTGCAGAATTCACATAAGATGTTGCAGGTGTCACCACTTTCCAAAGCATATCACATTGCTACATAAAACCATCAACTCTTGTGAAATCTGTAATTTGCCAGGTTTTGATTAGGAAACAAAATTCTCAGCAATCTTCTTACTTTTTCCATAACAAAGCATGTTGTACTAACAATAATACACAAACTTTTCTTCTCAATTTCAGACATCAGTAAATCTGTGTATATTTTTGAAAAGAGTCTGAGATGGAAACAAAATATTTGAAGTAAGAAAATCATATAATGGAGGACTGGAAGAGAACTGAACAGGTCATCTAGTCCAGTCTCCTGCCCCGAGGCAGAACTAAGTATTATCTAGGTCATCCCTGACAGGTGTTTTTTTAACCCGTTCTTAAAAACTCAGTGATGGGGTGTCAGTCCATGATTTGTTCCACCTTGCACTTTGCTGTGATGCTGGGAGAACTTTCCCAGACCCGAAGAAGAGCTCTGTGTGGCTCAAAAGCCTGTCTCGCTCACCAACAGAAGTTGGTCCAATAAAAGATATTACCTTGCCCACCTTGTCTCTCTAATATCCTTCAGTTAGGAAATTTTTCCTAATGTTAAATCTAAATCTCCCTTGCTGCCATTTAAGTCCATTACTTCTTGTCCTGTCCTCAGTGGCTAAAGAGAACAATTTATCACTCTCCTCCTTATAACCATCTTTTACGTACTTGAAGACTGTGATCATGTCCCCCCTCAGTATTCTCTTCTCCACACTAAACAACCCAACTTTTTCAATCTTCCCTCATAGATCATGTTTTCTAGACGTTTAATCTTTTTTTTTTTTTTTTCTCTTCTCTGGACTTTCTCCAATTTGTCCATATCTTTCCCAAAGTGTGGTGCTCAGAACTGGACAAAATATTCCACTTGGGGCCTTATGAGTGTTGATTAGAGTGGAAAAATTATTTCTCATGTCTTTCTTACAAAATGAAAGGTGATGTTGTATAACACAATTTCAGAGGAAGAGTGGATTAGAATTTGGAAGGGGAAAACCACTACATCATCCACTTGTGTAGTGAAGAAGAAAGGGGGACTCACATTCAAGTCCCTGCTCCAATGGCTATTTAATTTATACAAAGTGGAACAGCTTCAGTGGGAGAGACTCACTCCAGTGTACCTGATAGCCTAATCTTTATGGCAATCTCCTGATTGGTGAGAGATTCAAATTGAACTCTCTGTTCCAAACCAGGGAGAGGGGAGAATTGAACTTGGGTCTCCCACATTCAGGTGAATGCCCTAACCTTCAGGTAGAAAGGAGAGCACCACAACCTATATACTGGGCTAAAGGTATAGAGGGGCAAGGAGGACCCCACCAACCACTTAACGAATCCAACCTGAAAATGTTTTTTTGGCCCAAACTCTGGTAAATTTGTGTCAAATTCACAAATAGTTTCAGGTCAACCAGGATTACATTTTTTAGCAGATAAACTATTTGTCAGAAAAACTTCACCCGCTTCTTTTTTTACCAATTTGTGAAAGTCTTGAAACAGCTACCTGGAAGATATCAAGGGTGTCCCTTTTCCGAGTTAATGGAGATGGATTACAGTATAATCTTCCTCTCAGTCAATCTCAATTGGAAAATGTATTGCAATAGATAGACGTTCACACATCTTACACAGTGTATATTTCTTTTATAATAGAATAAGCTGATTCAGTCATATCTTACCATATATTAATCAAATCATTTTCTACACATTGTCTGTTGTTGTTACCTAGACACCAGGGGTCAAATTAGGCTCTCATTTACACCTGTGTATATCTGGATTAACTCCTCCGAAGTTACTCTTGATATACCTGGGTGCAAAAGAGAGCCTAATGTGGCCCTGATCACATACAAACAGAAATTGGAGCATCCAAGAATCCCTCTCAGGATGCCTGATTTTGAACTCATACTGCTGTAAATCATGAGTAACTCCCCTGAAGTCAGATGGGGAGATGCATCAGCGTGTTTCATTGCTCTAAGAAATTGTGTTGTTAGAAGATTTTACTCATTGTAGCGTTGTACATTAGCCGTAGAAGTGGAAGAAAAAGGATAGTTTCAATTTCCTGAGTGGAGAATTAGAGATGAGGCTGTTTTCTTAATGGGAATTCTCTTTTTAAAAGTCTGTATTGCAATCTTCCCAAAACTTATGCCCATGCCGACCCTGAGGCTAGACACGTGTGTATAACTAGCAAGAAAGCCACTGAAACCTTCGGATGCAGTAAGAGGTTGAGAAAAGAGACTTTTGAACTCTATTGATTTGGTTTATTTTTTTCCTCTGCAGCTTTTCATTTTCACAATGAACTCCATCAGTGAAGCAACTACCAAATTTGCCCTTGACTTTTTCAAAGTATTGAACAAAGATCATCCATCTGACAATATCATCTATTCTCCTCTGAGTATCTCAGCTGCCCTGGGCATGGTCCTTCTTGGGGCCAGAGGCAATACTGCCACCCAGATAGAAAAGGTAGGCAATAATAAGTCATTTGTTTTATTCCTTCATATTTGTTCAACAATGGCAGACCATTCCCATGTGCAATGTCACCTTAGCTCCTCAAGGCTCTTCTTTTAACGCAGAGCATTTTCCTTTTCCATGTGTAATATATCCTGCACAAGTAGCAATTGCCCTAGTTAAGGTCTCAAAGGCACTTTTATATTGAATGGAATTAAACTTTATGGAGTTGAAAAGGTGCCTGGCAGAAGCTGCAGGCTGAGAACATTATTATAAACTGGAAATAACATTTCCAGTCCAAGAGCAAGAGGTTTTCCCCCTCAAGCCCCGATCCTGCAAACTGCTCCATACATGAGTGTCATTACGTACATGAGTAGTGCATAATAGTACTTGGGTGTGTTATTGTTTGTGAGACTATGGCCTATGGTGCAGCTTCACTTACCTTCTGCCTAGGCTGGTCTAATTTGGCCCATAGAAATGTTTCCAGCCCCTCACATTCACTTTACACATACATTTCTGTTGTAACGTTATTGTGCACTGCCTGGTGTCTCTGATTTTAAAAGCATTTTAATTTATTTTGTTTTGGTGACATTTTTGTGTTCTGCATTGTACCAAAAGAGAGATACGTAGAGTAAATGGTTATTTCAGAAATGTGTGTAGCTCAGATGCAGTCCTTTTTAGTTGCTTACTATGAACATGCTGAGCATCAGATTTACTAGTGCTGAAGTGTCACAATTTTGGGTCATAGTTATAAAAAAATAAATTGAACATCTAGTTTGGCAAAAGTATTAACTTATTTCGGATCCCATGAGCCTGTGTGAGTCACCTTTTTTGATTGGAAAATTATTTGTACTGCTCAAGCTTGGATTGCACAGGAGTTAGTACTAATCAAGAATCATGTATCATCAGCCTTTGAATAAATCAACTGTCATCATTTGAGCTTTGAGATGAATATTTTGCTTTGAAGGCTAGAAGTGTGACCCAATACAGTTAGTAGATGTAAAGGGATCTGCAGACGAAAGGAATGAAATTTAAAAAAACCACACAGGTTCCAATGATGCCGGCACAGAAGTCAATGGCAAAACTCCTGTCCACTTAAATATGGGCAGCAACTAACTCTATATTTGACAAACAAACACTGCATTTGTTGGAATTAAACCTAGCAAACTATGAAAGCATTTCCATTGATCTTCAGATTGTTCCTTTCATTTAGGTTTTGTAAAAAATAAGCTTTTATCCAAGTCCCAATCCTGTGATAGGATCCACTATTGCAGATCCCTGCATGCCTGCAGAACCCTACTGAATTTATTGCCCGATTGCAGCACAGTGTAAAAAGATCTAACAAGCTGAATATTATGGGCAGAAATAGGAAGTGAATTCCAAAATCATAGAAATATAGCTCTCCCTTCTAGTGATTTTGAGTAGTATTCACCAAATGGCTTGCTGATTTTGATGTCAGTGGATGGACTGGAGCATCTAGTGATAAAAGTTGAGAACACTTGTCTTTTGAAAGCGTGGTGTCCATCTCCAATAGAAAGAACAGTAGGTAAGACAGACAACTGAATTTTCTGTGACAAGTTTAGTTTCACAGATTGTCATAAGTAATTCAATACAGTGTATGACTGTTGCAATGTTACATTTCTACTTCAGGCACTTCACTTCCTTGAATTTGCAGAACATGAAAATCCAGGAAGAGGAAGCTCTTCTGAAGCAACAAGAAGTGATGACAATTCAGAGAGAAGTCACAGATGACCTCTTCATCCCCGGCTGCTGGTATCTTAGAACAAATGTTGGAGTTGGAGAAACTTTGGGGAATTTGAATGAAAATTCAAAATTGTCAGATTTGAATTATAACATAAAAATGGGGGGGGGGGGAGAATGCTGTGATGGTGGGTGACAAAAGATATAAGGAGAAGGATAAAAATGTATACAAGATAGCAAAAAGTAAGGCTTAGGGTTTTTTATTGAAAATATTGTACAATTATATGCTTGATTTGTGGATGCAATAGTCATAACGTCATTTACAGGTGATGAGTTCAGTTTGCATCTTGTTATTTTAATGAACTTCTACCATGATTGTGAGCACATTTGCATGTATAAATCAGACATACAGAAAGCATTGGAAATTCTTCTACCCTGAACATTTTTCATTGTTCATCAAATTTTCACGTGTGGTGCTCCATAAGTAACGAGTGGAACATCCCGAAAGAGCCATGAATTACTTAGTCCTTATAACAGGGCTTTTGCGCCACAGATCTGCACTGTCAGGAACAAGAACAAGTCAGAGAAGGCAAAGCTAGTTTAGTTATTGAATCTGAATGGTTTAATAGGAGAACAATTATTAAAAACAAAACAAAACAACAAAAAATAACCAGTGTCTGTCACTCCCAGCCTTCTTCAGTCAGAAATAAACTACAGCAACTTTGTGTTATTTGAAGGTTCCTGATAATCAGTGTGATATACCTGGAGGGATTCATTCCCAGTTTCATGACATCATCTCAGCAATCAACAAACCCACTGCTTCTTATGAGCTGGCTATTGCCAACAGACTGTATGGAGAAAAGACATTCAATTTTCTTCAGGTGAGTTGCATTGGGATTCACATTAATGGCCTGTGACTTTGTAGGACAGATAGAGATGAACAACATGGGCTTAGTTCAGTTGAGGTCCCATTTCCTGCTGACTTGATGGGAGGTGTGTCCACTTAGACAAGGGGTGGAGTTGATCCCATGGAGGTACTGAATAGTAGGGCAGAACAGCCAATCATCTTAAAATAAATCATGTGGTTCCAGAATAGAATGTTTAAGCTAACTTTAAAGCCTTAGTTACAGGCTCTGCTCATTTCCCCCGGTCACACGAGCATTGGAACCTGGTCACAGGAGCATTGTAATTAGGTGTGTTGAACAGCATTGAAAGCATAATTTCTAAGTGTTTACTATCACTATTTGTATTTTGGCAGTGCCTAGAGGCACTAGTCTCATTGGACTAGACTGTACAAAATATAATAAAGAGAATGTTATGAAAGCCTGTCCCTCAAAAGCTGTTTTATACAGTACACTGTTACCCATGTTTTTCTTCAGCTTTGTAACTATTAAATTACTTCCATATATCAACAGCAAAATAAAGTTCAAAGGGTGGCTATAATAAAAAAAAACTATTTAATCGTGGCACCAGCTTACTCAACAGATACATATTCGGAGTTATATCTGCTTATTTGACTGACAAAGTTAAGATTTAATGCTTTCTATTCTTGTTAGCACTCTAGAAGTAACACAGTGATGGGAAAGTGAGCTAGAATTATTCTGGCTCATGCATCTTCAATAGAATCACTAACTATGTTCTGGGATGAATTATTCCTCCAGAAAGTTTCATGCTACCTTTTTAACCAATTCATTTCATGTTATTTACAAGGTCTCATCATTTGATTTGTGTGAAGTTTCATACACCCAAAAACTGTTCACAAATCATCTTTCAAAATTTACTTCTAGTTTTAAATTTCTTGTGGATTGCAGTCATCTTTAGTTATCTTGGCTGATGGGAAAAAGAAACATTGAGACAGTGCTTCAAAGACATTCATGAATTACTTATAAATATATAGTCAGTGACACATAGGTTAGACAGGGACAGAAGTGGCCAGAGACGTATATATCTCTAGGATAAATTCAGAGTTCTACGGGTAGAACCCCTGAATTTAACAGAAAGACCTATAGTGGGTCCTGTTCCACCAGTTTCTCCTGGTTTGCAGTCCACCCAGAATGGAAAGTAAAATTGAGAGACCTAAGCACTGGCTGCTGCAAGAGGAGGCAGCTTTATCATATCTGGAGCACCCACAGAGTCGGCGCCTATGAGCAGGATTCCAACCAAAACATGCCAACTTCCCACTGGACTATAGCTAGTGCATTTCCTCCCACGACCCCCCAGCCGTATCTTTTGGAGCTGTAGTTTAGGCATTGTCGGCAGGGCCGGATTTACACCTTATGCGTTCCTAGGCACAGCATCTTCAGTGCTCCCCCTGCCTACAGCTGACCTCTGTGTTGCACAAAATTTTAGAGAGGTAAGGTGCCCCTAGAACACTGGTGCTCCTAGGCATGTGCCTAATGTGCCTAATTGGAAATCTGGCCCTGATTTTCGGGGTCTCCGGGCTTTTCGGTGTGCGCAGTTTTGTGTGACTCAGATCCCTCTCAGATGTCCACATGCACTTGGGCGCCGGTCTGAGTCTCCATGGCTCCGGCTTCCACTGACAGGGGTTCCATCTGCTCCTGGGCTGGAGCCAACAAGGAGCATCCTTCCTCCCTAGAAGTCAGCACAGACTGAACTGGGGTGCTCCCTTTTATACTAGTGCTGCATCTGGAGCATGCCCAGTAGGGATGTGGGGGCATGGCTTCCTCAGCCCACAGTGAAGAGTTAACTCTTCCCCATCCAGTGCAAGGTGAGTTCACCCCGTCACAAACTGTTTTATCCAAACTCTCCAAACCTATCGAGCCCTTTGCCTATGCTATACCCAACTGGTCCAGTTCATTCTGCTAGTCCACCCCATCTTTAGGATATACAAAAATCACTTTTGCAGTGTTGCAGAACTAAAAAACAGGAACATTTTATTTTATTTAGCACAGTCTTAAAAAAAAAAAAGAGAGAGAGACCTGTTTTCTGATGTATTGTTCTGACATTCTCTCTTATCATACAGCAATACCTATCCTGCATACAAAAGTTATACCAGGCAGAATTGGAACCAGTTGATTTTCAGAATGCTGCAGAGGAAACCAGAGAACAGATAAATTTGTGGGTTGAAACCTTTACAAATGGTAAGGACAGGTCAGCCATTGGCTGCTATTACTTGATATTTAATCGCTTGAAGTGTACAAGGTGCTGAAGAACCTGGAGGAGAAAAATGTTTCCTCATAATTGGAGCACGCCCAGCATGGGGCTGCAGTGGCAGCTCTCCACAGTTTGACCACTTGAGTGATGTAGAGCTAGATCATTAATTCCCACAGAGAAAACGTATTTGAGGAGAACAGAGTAGCCAGCAAACTCTGGACCCTAGTACAACACCCATTGAAATCAATAGGAATTCTTCTGACAACTTCAGTGGGTGCTGGATGAGACCACCTGTCTGTTTGACTGCATGGAGTTTAAGGAACTATCAAATCAGATGCAAGAGGTATTGGGGGGCAGGTAGTGGGGACCTTCTGAAAGTACCTTGATTTATGAGCTCCTCTACAGATAAGGTAAAAGACAGCCCCCTACTTAAAATTTTACCTGGAGCCAAGACTAGTCAGGAGAAATAAAGAATAAAATGGCCATTTTAGGAGACATCTACTCTCCATTGTACACTTGAGGCACATCAGTGGGTCAGTTTGGGGAAAATCATGGTAACACTGCTTGGGTTCCACTAGTTCTGTGAATAGACAGAGGAGTTCAGCTTCTCAGGGCTGTCAGTCAAACATTTTTCATGTGTGTCCAGTATCACATATATATTCTTACACCCAGGTACATACAAGCACTAAACATCAATGTTATTACAACAGATAACTGGAACTAGATTTACTGATCTGCCAAAACAAACTAATTTCCCTCCCTTTCTTTAAGGTAAAATCAAGGATCTCTTTGCCCCGGGCACTCTTGCTGCTCAGACTACGTTAGTTCTCGTGAATGCTGTCTACTTCAAAGGGAAATGGGAAGTGGAATTTAAGAAAGAAAACACAGAAGAAAGACCTTTTCGGATTAACGAGGTAGATTACAGAAGTACACATCACATCATTGCGCCTATTACTTTACATGCTTGGCAGACTATGAGGCACACTGGGACCTGCTCTGGGGGTGGAGAGGGATTTTTTCCCAAAGCTTCTGCTAGGAGAGTGCATCATGCCTGACACAGGTACAATGCCTCACAAAGCCACCTGGGGCACAGGGGAAGCCAATGTATAAGAAGCTGCAACATCTGCCCCCTCTGTGGCCTGTCAGCTCTTCCAACAGGAATGGAAGTGTTCAGGACATAGCCCCGCTTTCTCCCCATCATAGGCACCAAGTTCCTCTCTACTCCCCTCTGCTTGATCCCTCCTCTGCCTGAGGCCTGCCCCCACTCCACCTCTTCCTGCAAGCCCCCATCCCTGCCCCACTTCTTTCCATCCTTGCTCTGCCCCCCCCACTCTACCCCTTCCCCCAAGGCCCCACCCCACCTCTTCCTGTCCCTCTCCCGAGCACGCCCCATCCCTGCCCCTTCCCCTCCCTCCCAGAGGCTCCTGCATACTGCAAACAGCTGTTCCACAGCGTGCTCGGAGGGAGGGGGAGGAGTTGATCAGTGGCAGGGGCGGCTCTATGTTTTTTGCCGCCCCAAGCACAGCAGTCAAGTGGCCTTCGGCGGCCTGCAGGCAGTCCGCTGGTCACATGGATTTGGCGGCTTTTCTGTGGGTGATCTGCCGGTCCCGTGCCTTCGGCGTACCTGCCGCCGAATTGCCGCCGAAGCCGCGGGACCGGCCTGACTGACTGCCTACCTCACAGCGACCAACACGCTGCCCCCCGCGGCTTGCCACCCCAGGCACGCGCTTGCTGCGCTGGTGCCTGGAGCCGCCCCTGATCAGTGGGGCTGACCGTGGCTCAGCGGTGCTGGGGAGAAGGAGGGAGGTGGGTGCTAAGCACTTGCTAATTTTTTTCCATGGGTGCTCCAGCCCAGGAGTTCCCATGGAATCAGTGCCTGTGCTCCCCATCCCCTTTGGGGTTGCTGGTGCAATTAGGTTCACTACCCTTGTATAGTTTTGCACTCAGAAGAGCAAAGACTGACGGGCCCCTGAGCAGAGGCCTACCATAAAGATGCATCTTGTACCTTCCCCCACTACGTACCTAGTTTGGAGCAGTCCACAGTCTGGCATCTAATAATTTTCTACATAGACTTTTAACTGGTTTGCTTGTATTCAGACCTACAATGAGTTGTTCTGCTGCCCTGTTTACAATGATTGCCACCAAGAAATCCATTTAGTCTGTGTTCAGTTTCCATATTCTGTCACCAGATTGATCTCCCGCCTCATTTTTCTCATTAAGATTAAATATTGAAAGTGGGAGGCTTTTTTTAGTTTACATTCTGTACACTGTCCCTGTGCTATTCCACCACATGTTGTGTGGGCAATGAATGTAATATAGTCAGCTTCGTATTTGCTTCAATTCAGTTTCACCTTCTGTTAGTCACACATTAGCACAATGTAGCAAAAATAGGTTGGCAATGTTGCGAGGGAAACATTTGTTTAACTAAAGGAAAATTGTTCTTAGTGGAATTTGTTTCCATTACATTGTTTTGTGGATGACTGTTGCTTTTAGGTTTTGTAAATTTCTGGGTCAATTTGACCTGAGAACATGCTATTATATTGAAATTTAAATTAAATGAAAGATGAAAACCTGTAGTTTTAATGCCCTTAATGTGGTTCTCAAGCCGGACAACCAAACTGTGATGCACACTATCAGCGGCAACTTCTGAAATTGTTGGTCCTAGGAAATAGCATTAACTGTTCTTCTAAACCTTCTATTCATCTTGGGGTGGGTGCGCCTGTGTGCAGGCACAGGGAGATGATAAATGGTATCTCAGCTTTTAAGGGGCAGGGGAGAAGCAGCATCGGGGAATCCTGGATCATGGGAATGGGCTTTATGGGGTTTCCTAGTCTACATGTTCCCATACCTCACACTGACTCCTTTCCCTAGATGCAGAGAGGGAGAAAAAACTGTTGTGAGATGTTTGAAGAGGTTCAAGAGGACTTTATACCTTTCTTTAGAAGGTGCTAATCTGGCCCTAAACAACCACTGCAGCATTTAAGTCCAAGTGAAGATGTAATACAAGGAAAAACATTTAAATACAGGAGGATACATTGTATGTATTTCATTTGTTACTAATTGTCATTGCTTTCAGACTACAAGCATACCTGTGCAGATGATGTACCATAAGGGCGAGTATAAAATAGCTACAATAGAGGAGCATAATTGTCAGGTGCTTGAACTCCCATACAAGGATGGTGACCTGAGTATGTATATACTGCTGCCAAAAGACTATACGGGTCTAACACAGGTAAAGTTACCTATGATGAGATGATAACCTTATAATCAGAATATGAACATGGCAATGTCTTGTGTATCTCTCATCACCTGGACAGACAGTATAGGAGAAAATTACCTTTCCTCCTCCTTGTTGCAGAGTATGCAGCACGTTGAATAGTAAATCTGAAGGCAGGCTGCTTATGCTGTTCCTGTGTCTATTGAATTTTCAGAAAACAAACAATTAGCCAGCTATTTTATTCTCCAAATAGGGCACGGTGACAATGTAATTAATAGCTAATTGCTACATTTTTGTATTATCAACCTTTCTAAACAGTTAATACCCACACAGACTAGTCTAAAAAAGAATGAATAATAAATGCAAACAATATAGGTAACACATTGGCAGATCCACAGAGGCTGTCTGCCACATATTGCTGCCAGACTTAACATCTGATCCAGCTCCCTAACCCTTCTCCCATACAATTCAATTGCAAAACACCCATTGAATTCACTGGTGCAGGATCAAGTCCTTTAGCTTTAATGGTAGAAGTCTGAGCACTGAAGTTAAAAGTTGCACCATTGACTCCCACTGGTGACCCAGCATTGTGGTCATTATATTTACATTGATTATAGAATCTTGTTTTCTTTTTTCCAAACACTGGGCAAACACTTATTTGGAAATCTTTAGGGTACAGCTACAGGGAGATAGAAGCCCTGTGGGCTGAGGGGCTAAAAAGTGCTGTGCAGACATTGAGGCTCAGTCTGGAGTCTAAGCTCCGGGACACTGAGGGGGTGGAGGGTCCCAGGGCTTGGGCTAGAGCCTGAGCCCAAATGTCCACACAGCAATTTTTCAGCCCTGGAGCCTGAGCCTTGTGATCCTGAGTCAGCAGACACGGGCCAACCGTGGGTTTTGTTTTTTTTATTCCCTTTGTAGACATACCCCTAGTGAACTTCATGCTTCTGACCTCAGTAGCATTCTAAGAATCATGCCTGCCATGGTTACCACAGTGTGAATGAAAGTCACTTTTCCAACCTTCTCACACAGTTCCATGTCTTGTTGATTTTTATGCGTAACTGCAAGATTCTGATTCCCGTGCATCTTTATACCTGTAGCTGGAAAAGGAACTTACCTATGAGAAATTAACAACTTGGATCAGCCCCTATTATATGAAAGAAGATGAAGTGGAGGTGTCTCTTCCTCAGTTCAAAATTGAGACAGAAGCTCAACTCAACCAATATTTAGAAGCTTTAGGAATAACTGATGTGTTTAACCATGAATCAGATTTATCTGGAATAGCAAAAGCAGGTGGCCTGTCTGTCAGTGGAGCTGTCCATAAAGCTTATATAGAGGTCAATGAAGAGGGCACTGAGGCAGCAGCTGCAACTGGAATTGGCATAGGTGTGACCTCAGTCAGACCACAAGTAGAGTTTGTGGCTGATCACCCTTTCCTCTTCATTATCAGACACCAAAAAACTGAAAGCATTCTCTTCTATGGTAGATTCTCTTCCCCTTAAGAAAATTTCTAATTAACATGAATGAGATTCTGGACCACGGAACCATGATATGGAAAATACAATGGAAATGTTTATTTTTTTCATTTTTCTCTTTTCCTTCCACTGTATCTAGCCAGTGACTTCATAGTTATATACTCATAGCAGGACTCATGTGACATTCTTTTGATGAAAGAGTCCTACATTGTCTGTTTCTCTCCCTCACAAGCTTGCTTCTGGTTCCTACTTAAAGAATGTCCCACTCTCTCAGCACCCGAGGAAGGGCACCTCGGCTAAGTCCCAGCTCAATAGGAATCACCTTGAACCAGAGCTTTGAAAATCAGTAGTGAAGTAAAGAGCTATGAATTTTCTTAATCATCCTGAACTGAATGGGTATCGACACAAACATTGACCAAACACTTGCAGTGGAGAACCTGGCCCAGAGTTGCAGCAATGTAATGGTGAAGAATCAGGCTCATTGTTCTCAGCCATTGTTATTGCCCTTCTGCCACCTGTACTCACAGCGAGTTGTGCTTACTTCATAAGGAATCCTGCTGAAGTGAGTAGGACTACTGTGGAGGAAGGCACTGCTCAATGTGATGTGGAGCAGAGGGAGCTGCAAAACAGAGTCTGACTTCTTAGTAGTTGAATATAACGTTAACACTGTACACGGATACAAACTCCTACAGACAGGGTGTGAATTAGGGATGCTGTGGGAACTTTGTACTTCCTGACACCTGCATTGATAATTAACACAAATGTTGCTGTGACCCAAGAACCTCTTAATACCAGCTGGCAAGGGGATGCAGAGGACTCCAAGTTCTCCTGATTCTCGAGCAAAAGAATGTCACGTGAGGCCAGAAATAAGAGTCAGTATTGCACTATTCATCAATATTGTTATGAAATGTATGTAAGGATACTATGTAAGGAGTGATGTATGTATACGGAACATATGTTCTTAAAGTCTGTGTCTGGGCGTTGGTCACCAGCAAAGGTAAAAAACAGGTTTTTTTGTCAGACAAGAGGTGTTCAGCCATCTGTTTATTTAGATGTAAACTGAATGTTGTCTCATTCACAATGGGTCTCCTATCACCAGTCTGAACTGAATGCAAATGAAGGATTGTGAGAACTTCAGAATGGAACTAAAAGGAAGAAAAGAGCAGGGAGGGAGAACCTTATCTTGAGGTGCACCTCAAAGGTTTGTTCTACTATATTTGGGGGGCAAAGAAGATACCCAGGCATCGCTCAGCTAGGAAGTAAATGGACAGCAGATTTGCTTCATGAAAGTGGGATCTCAGCCAGGCTGGGCTGAAAACACTGGAGAGAACTTTGGGTGAGAAACTTCTTTATCAGCAGGTCAACCTCTTAGTTAAGTTTAGCTAGTCTATAGAAAGAGTGTTATTTTGCTTTAAATGTAACCATTTGATTCCAATATTCTTGCTCACTATTACTTGAATTCTCTATTCTATAATCTCTTGATAATAAACGTATTCTTGTTTTCACTATAAACATATCTAAGTGCTGTGGTGTGAAGTAAATTGATGATCCTAAGTTGAATCTTACAAGCTAGTATGTAATGTTTCTTTGGGAACGGCAGGCCCGGTAATTCTGTGAGTGTTCAGTGGATCAGGGACCAGACACTGCAGGGAACGCTCTGAGGACTCAAGGGTTGATGTGTGTCCATCACTACTTGTGCAGAGAGAACAAGGCCTGAGGGATTCTGGAGGGTAGTGCTTATATAGCCAGAGGCTGTTGGTTTCAGGGAGCTGATCCACAGCAGGCACAGACAAGGCTGCTTCACGCTAAGGGCAGGTGGTGGTGAGGTGCCTCAGAACCCTGGGTACCCCTGGGGAGCGTCACAGTTGCATTAGCACTTTTAAAAATCATTTAATTGGTTATAATTTGACTAAGTCCAGTTGTTTGCCACCAACTGTGAGACTACTGTGAACAGGAAAATTGGGATCTTCCAAATTTCATGTAGCAATTTCCTGTCAGTTTTTAGAGTTTAACATGAAATTAGAAAATTTTGTAGACTCGTCAAAAATCTAAATTGTAATTAACCAATTGTCTTCAAAAAGGGCAACTGGGGAAAATAACTGTCTTTCTGCAGAGTTCTCGAGATTGTAATTTTATTGCTTTTCTTTGGGGAAATATTATAGATGTATTTTGCTTTTGACCTTTTAATTTGCACAATTGCAATGCATCTATACAGCTGTCAAGTCAAGCACTCAATAAATCACAACATATTTTTTCATTTTCAGTAGTGGCAGGGAAATAAGCAAAACAGAAGTTGAAGACATACCTGTGTGCATTCACGTAAGATAGAAGCAGCAAGTGTATAACATACTACTAGTGGTCACCTGATGATAGACAGTTCATAGACCCCTGTTCCAGACAGTACTTGGCCATGCACGTATGTTCCAGTGATTGCAATGGGGCTCAAGCATGTGCTTAGCATTTGTTTAAGTGCTGTTCTGAATACGGATGCACTCCTTGGGCCGTAACATACATCTTCTTCTAATCATTCTTAAGTGGACAAGTACTAATAATACATATTGATATTTTGGCAATTCTACTCAGTTTCATTTTTCAGTTTTATACTCCCTTGGTTCCTAACCATAAGTGTTAAGCCGTAAAACATTGTTTCTGTAATATACCAATATAATCTACCTAGACCAGTGTTTAGATAAATTATGTGCCCTGAGAAATGATTAAAAGAAAGAAGCTCTAATCTACAAGGTACTGAGCGTTTCTCGTATATGAGGTGAGAAACAAGGAAGTAGCCTCCTGTCCATAAATTAGGGCTTGTAGCAATCTGCATGGAACTGGGAGGGAAGAGTTTGGAGCCAGCAGCAGGAAGCCAGTCTGTGTGCACATGGCTGGAAATGTTGCTGCAGTTGCAGCATTGTGTAAAAGTTGCACTCACCGCAGGTGCACCCTTGTGGCTGGGTGTTATGTAGCAGCTCATCATGTAGCACCCCTTGCTGACAGCTGCTACAGCCTTGGGGTAGCCTCTTTTCTCATGACTTGGCATTCCTGCCAGGTCTCTTTAGAGTCTCTCTCCTGCCAGGGTTTCAGTGCCCTACACAATACTGGTCATTGATCTGCCATCTTCCTCCCCTCCCAGACTCCGCTTCCACTCTACTCTTCTATCAGTCTAGCAGCCCCAGAGCTTCTCCCTGGAGTTTGTTAACCCAACTCAAAAGCAAACCACAGATTTCAGGGAAAGCAGCGTCAGGCCCTTTTCCTGCCTTGAACTTTTAAACTGTGTTCACCACCCTCCCACCCCAGCTCTCCATTCTTCTGCAGAGTGCTGACTTTCGGGGACTACCCTCCTTAAGTCTTGCCCTGTTTGGATCCTCAACTTCAGTCCCTCCCAAGGCTTTCTGCCTGTGGGGTGGCCTTCTCTCAGGCCCACTTCAAGATTCCCCTTCAACCCTGCTCCCCCTTCCATCCAACTCCCTCCTGAACTTCCTCCATGCTCTACTATCCAGACTACAGGTTTCTTCCCCTTTCTCTTTCTCCCTAAAGTCCTTTTCTACTCTGGGCTTCCTCCCTTTATAAAAAGCACCCACATCCTCCACCAGCTGAGACTCATCTTTAACTGGTCCTGGCCTGCACTCCAAGTGCCATCGCCTGTGTGTATTGATCTCTCAGGCCCAGATTAACAATTTCATCACCTGTGTGTGGTAAACACCACTGCTCTCTTCAAAAAGAGCAGTTTAGTTTTAGGATCATGGAGTCTTCTCATCTTATTGCCCTGTACATGGTACATGAAACATGGTGGCAATGGTCAGTCTAGAAAGACAATAAGGAAGAGTGTGTGATTAACAGGCCTATAAAGCAGCACCTAGAAAGAGAGGAAACATGCAGCATGCAGGTAGTCAGAACAGCAGAAAGGTTTCCAGCCAGGATCTGACAAACCTGCAAAGAACAGGCATCATTACACCCATAGAAACTAGCACAAAGTGGATAAGCCACCTAGTCATGTTGAGAAAACCAACAGGTAAACTGAGGATCTGCATGGACCCCAAACCATTGAAAACAAGTCACTAGCCATTCCCAATGACCAAGGACATACTATGTGATGTATCCAGGGCAAATGTCAAGAATGGGTTCTGGTGTACTGAGCTAGATGAGCCATCCAGCCACCTGACAACCTGTGTCACACTTTTTGGCAGGTGGTGTGGGTACAAAAGCTTATGGGCATCAGCTTGGCCCCAGAAGCGTTCCACTGTAAATTGAACCGGGCACCTCAAGAGTATAGTTGACAACATTCTTATTGCAGAGGAAGGAGATATCAAGGAAGAGGCAATCCAAATCCTCAATACTAAGCTATGGCAACAGGTGCCAGGAGCGCAATATTAGGCTGAATACAGACAGGCTGAAAATGAGAAGAACTGAGATTCTCTACTCCAGGAATTTGACTTCTGAGGGATTTGGTGGCACACAGAGAGATGTTTTGAGTGCCACTAAGGAAATGCTCAGACCAAAGGGAGTCCAGCACTTTATAGGGATGGCCAATGATTTTTCCAGATTCTGTTCCAACCTGTTAGACGCCTGTGATCCTCTGAGACCCTTAACATATAATGATGCACCTTGGGAATGATCAGAGACCCAAATTCAGGCTGTGATGCTGGCAAACCAGGGGCCAGTTCTTGCCAAGGCTTTAGCCCTCAGCTGAGCACTGAGAAATTCCTTACTGGAAACCAGACCAGCTCACATGTGTGTTAGTACGGTTAAGATGGATATTAGACTTATAACATGTGTTTAGCCTTTATAAAATGCTTGTAAGTTGCTGAATGTATTAATCCTACTTATAATGTCTGTTTTCCATGCTGTAAGGAAATACTTAAGTATTTGCTATACAGTTGTAAAATGTTTGTTCTGAAATTCTAACTCACCAAACAAGAAAAAAAAAGTTACCTAGTGCAAAATGCTAAATCCCTGTGAAAGGTTTTATCTCTTGCCCATCAGGAGGGGCTATCCTGAAACTAAATGAGCCAGTGTGAGACATCTGAGTA